ATTGAAAAACTAAAACAAAACAAAAAAATTTCCCCACAGATTTGTTGTTGTTGTCACGTGCCATCAAGTCTCCTGCAACTCACAGAGAACCTATGCACAACAGCTCTGAACCCTGCCCTATCCTGAGTCTAACTCACTATCTCCAACGCACCTGCCACCATTGCTCCAGTCAATATGTCAATACATCTCACCCAGGGTCTTCTCCTCTTAGGCCGTCCCTCATACCTCAAGTATAATGTCCTTCCCCGAGAAGTGGTCCTTTTGGGCAACATGTCCAAAGTATGTGAAATGGAGCTTCAAAACCTTTGCCTTTAAAGAGCAACTTGGCTTGGCCTTATCCAGGACAAACCTATTTATTCTTTTGGCAGTCCATGGAATGTTCAAATGCCTTTCAATAATTTCTAATAGGTTCTCATTTAGCATTTGTTGTTATTAAGTGCTGTAGAGTCAAATATGACCCACAGCACTCTATGAACAAAAGATCTGAAGCCTGTACTATTCTGTGCCATACTCACAAACTTGATATACTTGAGCCCACTGCTACAGTCACTGTGTCAATCCACCTGGTTGAGGGTCTTCCTCTCTTTTACAGTACCTCACCTTCCCAAGCATGATGTCCCTCTCCAAGGAACATCTTCTTCTATTAACATGTTCAAAGTATTTGAGACAAAATTTTATCACCTTTGCCTCCAAGGAGCATCAGGATTCGAGAAAGATTCATCAATAACTTTTATCATGCAGATGATACAACCTTGCTTACTATATGTGAGGATGACTTGAAGCACCTGCTGCAGAAGGTTAAACACTGGAACCTTCAATATGGATTACATCTCAACATCAAGAAAACAAAAATCCTTGCCACTGGACTGATCAGGAAACATTATGATGGACAGAGAGAGGACTGTTGAGTCTTAACAACTTCATGTTACTCAGATCCACCATCAATACACATGGTACTAGCAGTCAGGAGATGAGGAGACATACTGGACTGTGAAAGTCTGAGGTCAGAGACCTCTCCAAATTATTGAGGAGCAATGGTGTCATTTTGAAGTCCAAGGTGCACCTGATTCAGGCCATGGTCTTTTCAGTCACTTGCTATGCATCTTAGAGTTGGATAATGAAGAATGATGACAGAAAAAGAACTAATGCCTTTGAACTGTGCTGTCAGGTAAGAGTGCTGCAGATCCCATGGACCGCCAAATGAGCAAACAGGTATGTCTCGGAGAAGGTGCAGCCAGAGTGCTCCTTGGTGGCAAGATGATGAGCCTTGATCTCTCATATCTGGACATGTTGCTAAGAGAGAGTATTCCTTAGAGAGAGACATCATGCTTGAGAAGGTGGAGGGGTGACAAAGAAGCAGAAGACACTCAAACAGATGGGTTGACACAGTGACTGCAGCAATGAGCTAGTGTGTCAGAGACTGTAAGGATGGCACAGGATAGGACAGGGTTCAGATCTGTTGTTTATAGGGTCGCTATGAGATGTAGCCAACTTGACAGCACCTACCAATAACAGCAGAACTTACTGCCCAATAAATGTGTGCTAAATTCTGATGGTAAAGCAAACAGGTGAGTGACATCCACTTCTTAAACAACATGCCTCTGGAAACTCTATGAATTTAGAGAAACAATGATAATTATAGAACAGGGTTCAGGTCTTTTGTTCATAGCTTCGCAATGAGTCGTGCTCAACTCGATGACAATCAACAAGTGGATTAAAGGCACACAGTTCAAATCCTTCAACTATTCCTCAGAGAAGGGTTGACCCTATCCTCCCATGCAATTTACTGCCTTTGAAAACCTGCTGGAAGGTCAGCCATGGGTCAGTTCTGACTCGATGTTATATGACAATATTACAGTTGCTTTGTATGACAAAGATGGTCAGTCTCTTCAAAAAATAATTACAGCCTTAGGAATCATATAAGGGAATTGTCATAGTTAGAATCAGTTTGAATACCATTTATTTGTTTATGTTTTGGGTTTATTACTATATTCATTAACCAGGTCAGAGTGCTCCTTAGAAGCAAGATGGTAGAAATTTCTCTCACATATTTTGGTCATGTTACCAGGAAAGCCAGCCCTTGGAAAAGTAGAAGATCAGAAAGGCAAGGAAGTTCCTCCATGACAGGGATCGGCAGAGTGACGAGAATGGCACATAATCTGGCAGGGTTTTGATCTGTTATACATGGCACTGAACAACAACAACCGAACAGAGAAAAAATGCATACGTGTTAAAAAGGCACCTAAGAGATTTTTTTAGTATAAAGAAGATATTTGCAAATAATTTCCAATGTTTTTAATGTGTATATACTTAAAAGCAAAGCCCTCAAACATAATATGCCTACACTGTTGTTGATTGCCATTGAGTCGGGCACAACTCATAGTGACAATATGAACAAAAGATCTGATGCCTTTCTATAACTATCATCATTTCTCAAAGTTCATAGCATCCAGAGGCATGTTGTTTAGGAAGTGGAAAATTAGTGTCCTAAAAACATATTCTGAAATTAATCTCCACATTCTCCTTTAAACATAATGTTGTTGTTGTTGTGTACCATAGAGTCAGAACTGACCCACAGCTGACACTCCAGCAGGTTTTCAGAGGCAGGTAATAGTATGGGGGAAGACTGTCCATCCTTCTCCCACTGAGCAGCTAAATGGCCTTGAACTGTGTGCCTTTGGGATTGCAGTGCAGCTTCTGCCACTATGCAACCAAAGCTTCCCTTTAAACTTAATAATGAAAATTAAAATAAGACAGTAAAAAATAATTAAGCAAAACAATACCAATTTTTCAATTATAATAAAAAAAATAAAATATCTTGATTGTGCTAAAGCTAAACATTATGCAATGTTCTATAATAGATAAACAAGATTAGTCTTTACAAATAATACATTTAAAATATTAGGCATGAATAAATACACAATGAATAAGGAATAATATTAAGAACTATCAGTAAATGACATATAACTGTGGAAGGAATTCACAACTATTATTAAAATTTATGAGCAATCTACAGGGAAAAACTTATTTAAGTATCTTCTGTGACACTCTAAATAGTATCAGTGCTATGAACTAGTGCTAAGAATAAATTAAAATAATTAGCATATTATAAAAGTATAAATTACTAATGTTTTATATGAACATAATGAAAATAATTTGATTTGATTGATTCAACTATAACTTACTGTTGCTATTTTAGTCTTGAGAATGTTCTGTTTTTCTTGATCAACTTCAATCTCATGTCCATATTTAAATAATTCAAGCATTTTGGGAATGTCACGGCCAACAGATTCTGGTTAGGGAAAAAATTATTCAAAATCATTACTATATCTCATAAAGGTAGCAGAAAATACTAAGCACAATAAAAGTAAATTCAAGCAGTAAATCATACAGGAGGAGACTATCCATTCTTCACCCATGGTACAGCTCAAATCACATGCCTCTGACACTGCAGCACAGTTTCTTACCACTAGGCCACTTGTGCTCTCCTAAGGGAAACTGCTGTTTTTGTTGCCACTTCTTATTACTAAGCCATCAGAAAGGCATGATTGTTAATGATGATATAGAAAGAATAGCTATTATCACTGAACAATGTATGTAGAAATTGTTAAATGAAAATCTAATTTACTGTGTGAACTTTCACCGTAAATATAATAAGATTTTTCTGGGAGAAAAAAATAAAGCTCATTCCATGTGCAAGAATAATAGATACACTGTGATGAATAAACTCCAGGGTGGCTCCTCTAATCTTAATCTTCTGGTGTTCATACCCTTGTGCCATTTCCTATTGAGTGTGAATGAGAACTGTCAAGTGCTTACATACCAATATGTTAATAATGCCTGTTCAGATGAAACTCCCTGCTTAAGTGGCTTCAAAGATACAAACTGTCATATGGACAAGATCAGGAAACAAGAAGTTGAGAGTGGCTTTGTGCTAAAAGCCAGCATGATATCAAAGTCCTCAGTGTAGCAAAGATCTGAATTCTGGCAAACAAAAAAAGAACTGAACTGTGCCAACAAGTACATAGGGTGAAAAGTGGATCCCTCGCCATTGAAGCCTCAGAAAAGACTACAGCCTTGATGAACACCTTGACTGGAGCTTAGTGAAACTCTGAAGCAGAGGGGCTAGGTTAACGGAAACAGAAAAATAATGAGTTCTGTAAAGGCACTAACGTCATAACAACAGTATTATATAACAATCAATAACTAAACCATAAGTATATCCTACCTAAACTGACACAAACTGAAACTGAACATCTGAACAGTCCCATTACAAAAGAAGAAATTGAAAAGGCAATACAACAACTTCCAACCAAGAAAAGCCCTGGACCAGATGGTTTTACAAGTGAATTTTACAAAAC